CTAACACCTGGTCACTTTTTAATAGGCGAACCACTCATAAGTATTCCAGACGATAATTACGAACATACAAATATAAGTTCACTAACTCAGTGGCAACTTGTACAAAAAATGACACAGAATTTCTGGCGTCGGTGGTCACAGGAATATTTGTCAAACTTGTTGCATAGATATGAATTGCTTACCAAGTACCAGAATCTAATATCGGGGATGTAGTGTTAGTTAAGGAAAACGATTTACCACCATGTCATTGATTACTTAGTCGGATCATCGAAAAACATCCTGGTCCTGATCAAATAACCCGAGTAGTTACGTTACGAACCAAATCGTCAATAGTTAAAAACCTACCTCTAAGATTTGTATATTACCTGTTAGTACTTAGTGTAAGTTAAGCCAAATTGTTATTGTTTTATTTTATTTTATAATTATTAAATATGTATTCCTAAGATTTAATTGTTGCATTTATTATTTCAGTACAAAATTGGAAATAACACTCATTAAGGACAATAAAGGAGCGAGATCACGGTGGGCGGTTTCTCATAATTAAGGACAATTTTATGTTTTCAATATTGTCCTTGGTGGGCGGGATGTTAAAGTATAGTAGTTCACCTTTTTAATACTTGATGGCGCTGTACAAAAATTATATCGCGATGTTGACGTGCAATGCAACTAGACCATAAGGCCACAAGAATATCATTTATTTTTGTGCATTAAACGTCATGTTAATATACCATAGTACATACGTTGTGAGGTGTTTTATTAAATCATCCCAACGTACGCCATTTTGGTATTCAGTTCAGTGCTAGTTCAAACACTGTTATTAACTTATTTCAGATTTATACACTAATACTAGCAAAAAACAAAAATAGCATGTAGTGTTTACCTTTAAATGATTTTACATACTCTGTGCAAGTAATATAGTAATTATACTTTAAGAAATGTATGTAACGTATGAAGACAGAGAAACCTATAGACTAATGATCGGAGTGGCCTCGAGTGAGAAAGAACGAATTTTTAGGTTATACAATAATCTTTATGACTTTTAAACACATTTAGATACAAATTTTAATTGTTCTAAGAACTAAACTGAACAAGATTCACCAATCTTAAGCTCACAAAACACTTTTTTCTCACTTAAACTGTAGAGTTTGCTAAACAAAAAACCGGCACGGAGAAAGGGACAAACAATCACACCGGTCTATCTCATTTCTATGCAAGACGAATGTATAAATCTATCTTTTTCGTGTGTGAATGCTAAAGAAGTCGTCAATTTATCTATAGGTTTCTCTGTCTACGGTAAAATCGCTGGTAGACCCTATAAATAAATAAATTTTAATCTCCGTTAATACTCCGATAGGAGCAAGGGCGTTATAAAATCTATAACCTCCTTGGATAGATTAATAATGTACTGTGATTTTAAAGGTTTTGGCGGGAACTTGGCCGTCGACGGATTGTCACTCCTGTTTTGTCGCTTGAATAATGGTTGGAAGTGGATTTTATATGTAAAATTTTGCGAATTAAGTGTCTGCGCATGTGAACTGTTTGAGAAAACGACGAAACAAGTACTTTGATGTTGATATAAACCTCAAGTTACTTTCATCGCTTAGGTGCCTTACGAACGTGAGTGGCTGTCGTTATCAACTGTACGCTGGGTTGAGCTGTCGTCAAAATCTAAAAAACTTCACAATGTGACGCATTAGCAATTTGTGCAGAAAAAATATATAAAAATGAAGATATAAATATATAAAAAGAAATGATAGGCTCAGAAGGGCTAGACCCAGAGCCGTAAATCAGTTAATAAAAAAAGTCTGTGATTTTAAGATTTTAATGTTTCTAATCTTAATCTATGGTTTCTAAAAACTTAGGCATGAAAAAGAGAATTCAATTTCAATTACATTGAAGCAATAAGAAACAGGAATGGCCTTTAGTGAAATTTGTAGAATTTGTTTAAGCGTAAATGTACGCATGTGTGTACTAAAGAAGACTGGACTCCAACATTTATATAAAGTATTGACGAACAGATTTGTAAGCATGGAGGTCTGTAAGTTTGATTTTACTTCAGTTTGTTTTTTATTGCAAATTGAAGTTGCGGTAAATTGTTGTTATCGCTGGAGAAATACATTGTAACTTGCCTGGTATTAAATGCGATGGATCGAGGCTAGGCTAAGGTGCAGCGTTAAATAAAGAGTCAAATACAACCAGAATCTGAACAACAATAATAAGCTTAAAATCCTGAGCCGCACATAATCAGTACCATCATTGAAGTAATATCTACTACGGGGTAAGGTTTACAATTCGGTCAACAGAATTTGTGGGTGGGGGGGTGGCGTGGGGGGAGGGGGGAGGAGTTGTAGAGTCACCCCCTACTTCCACTTTCTGCCGGACGTGCTTAGTTTTTTTTTTATTAATTTTTAAAAATCTCATTTTGAGGTTATGTTTCGTAATTTTTATGGCAAATTTAACCTGATTTATGGGGAGAGAGAGTTGGGGGACGGAAGCCCCACGCCACTTAATGTGGTGCAGTCGAGGGAAGTTCGGTCGACGGAGCCCCGCGTTGCGGGGCTCCTACTTCTGAGTGGTTTACAAGAAAATAATGTCCGAGACGGGTTGCTTCATGTCCCAGGCTCGCTTCGCTCGCTATTGCACTCGATATAACACCAAATTATTAACTTTCATAACTATTTAATTTATAAACATAATTTATGGCTGCCACCATTTGTAAGAAAAGATCTTTGCGATATTTAGCAGTATTCCGCCTCCACAAATATTTCACTATTCACTAAAATTCTGAAACTCGGAAGCAACGCGATGAGGAAAAACTGTCAACAAAATGGCCAGCATAGCGATTTAATTTTACATATTTTTAAATCGATTCAAATCAAAATTGGATGAATCGATTCACAAAAAATCGAAATCATAGAGATTGATTTCGCAAAAATCGATCTTTTTTTGATTTGCATTAAAAGTTTATATTTACGATATCAAAAGTACAATAAAGTACAGATAACATTGAATAATTAAATTAAAAACTGTCATTCTTTACGAGTTGGGGTACATTCAACTAATTGTAAATAATTTTACAAATCTTAATAAAATGGAAAAAGATTCGATCTCGATTCTCTAGGGTGAAATATCGATTCAGTGCTATACATCGATATGATATTGACAGATGAAACGTCAAAAACGTAATTAAATTAGTCATTTACCAATATTTTTAAGAAATAATTAAAAATACTACGATGCTGCTCCAACAGAAAAAATCGAGTGGGGGTGCTTCAGATAAACCCCCTTGACTCCCCCACAGTGACAGAATCTTCAAATTCAGGCGACCGAATTGTAAACCCAACCCCTACTACGTACTAAAAGTGACGACGAGACATAGTGTTTGCAACACGCGTTGGGGCCTGCGGGCTCAAACTTACCGAGTCTGTGGCCTCCTTCCAAGCGACCCGCACTGCTTCATATAATTGTTCGCGGTGTCTGTTCTAGTACATGTTACTTCAATGAGTATTGTATTAGAGTATTACTTCAAGAAAAGAGCTAACTCCTTTCTAATGGGCCTGCAACGCCCCTGCAATTCCCCTGGTGTTGCGGTTGATCATGGGCGGCGGTATTCACTTAACATTAGGTGAGCCGCATGCTCGTTTGCCTCCTCTTCTATAAAAAAAATATTATTGTGAATTTCTTCCAAAGAATTAACATCAACCTTAGTTTGGTGTTTCATCCACTTATAGCAATTCTATCAAACTATATTCCTATCAGACAGAAATCAGAAGAGGGAATAATCTGCACATTTAAATAAATAAATATAGGAAATCTTCACATGTGCTTGCTTACACACACATGCAAAATAATCCTGTCCTGCACTGATGTATAGTCTCTTGTGACCAATTGCTGTCTGTAGGAGATTATTATCATTGTTGGGGGTGTTAACATGTGCTCACAGAATACCAACGTAAAATAGCAGCTTAATGCTGTTCCAATGGTGAGTGTAGAGAATAGGAGACCCTTACTGGTAGGTAGTGAGGAGTTCCGTCTTGATCTTGAGGGGTGACAATTAATTGGGGATAAATGTAGATGTCTATGGGCCACAGTATTCACTTACCATCAGGTGGACTGTGTGCGCGTGAAATATTGTAATTACATATATTTAAAATGTAAATACAAACTGCAAAATACCTATTTTCATATTGCATTTGATATCATTTTTTCGCCAAAATCTATTTTGTATTATATTTGAAATACTTTGTATTAATATTTAGTATATTGTAAAATGCAACATGATTTTGTAAAATTTTTATTATTTTCAATCCCATTGAAAATGACTTTATTTATATAAGCCTGCCATTCTAAATGTTGCACATACAGGTATTTGAACGATCTACGCCGCCAAAATTAATTTATGTTCGATAATGGTTCTAAACGACATTAGTAAATGAAACAAAGGTTTTAATATTAAATCGAGACATATTTATTCAAAACAAAAAAGAAAACATCAAAAAAATCTATAATTTTTCAGACAAATGTTCATCTTCGCTTTCTGAAGAATGACCAGGTTCATTCGGATTCGCAGGCATAAGTAGAGCAATTGTTTCCGGCAAGAAAGAATTAAGTTTTCTACTTTTTACACTTCTCATGCTACTCAACAGAGGGTTCGAAGTCAAAAGAAGCCAGTTAAAAATGTGTCGTAGTTTTCTCTAGAAAATTTTCGAACCAATTATTAGCATCTGAGTCAACATCATTTTCAAATTTTTGTTTGTACTTAGATTGCTGAGATCCATCACAACCCCACTTACGTATTATTTTTAGGCTATCTCGTTCTTTCTCATTTAATGTCATCAGAACTTCTTCTATCGAGGTTGACAGGCGCCTTACGGTTAGATCAACCAAAGATTGTAAGTCGCTTTCAGCGCAGGTACTTGTTACTTTGCATGCCTCTGGCGGTGCGGTGGGTAACATTCTTGTTTTGTCTTTTGTAAAAGGCTGTAACAAGGGAAGAACTTTTAGTTGGTATATCTAATTATTTCGTACTGTCGAGAAGTTAAATCAGCTTCTACAAACATTGCCAATGCTTGCAATGGTGTAAGAGGGCAAGTCTCATCTTTTCTTGTTTCAGAAAATGCCTTCTTATATTTTGTTGCACGTGTCGGACTAGTACTGGTGATTTCTTTTAATATATAGGAAGCATTTCGTTTTCCACTTTTGCGCAACTCAATCTGAGCAGCATGAACGATCACATCTTCTTCTACAATAGACCGAATCTCCTCAGTTTTCCTCCTTTTTGTTCTTTCACTTGAATCTCCAAATAACTTACGTGGGCGGCCTGGCCGATTTTGGCCATCAATCATTGTATTTGCGGAACATGTCTTCCTTCTTATGAGCCTTTGACCACCTTTGTCTTAATTGGCTTTTAAGGTGAGAAAAGGTGGATTTAAAGGTCTTAATTTGAGTACGCTCTGCATGACAGAAGTTCCTCATTCAAGAAAGTCAGTTTTTCTTCCAAATTAGGCAAATTAAAGCTCTGCATGCGGTCGAACAAGTATTTACGGGTCAAGTTCTTGCTCCCGAGGTTCTTTGTGAACCTAAAACAAAAAAGACTGCCTAAAAATTCACTTAACATAAATAAAGACTTTTGTTTTCTTAAAAAAAAAACTTAGGTACTTGTCTGTGACTATCCGCGGCAAATTTTTGGAGTTGTTAGTACTCAAAGCTTTAAACTTTCGATTATATCAAGAATTATGACAGGATATAACTTGGTAGTACCTATAACATATTCCTTTTTTAAACACAAATTATAGCTAAAATATATTCCATATTATGCGTGACTTTCAATATACTAAAACGAATCTTTCCAATTACAAAAATTATCCAAATCTATATATATAATAAAACAGTAACGAAAGAAAAACTGTACATTGAGAATTTTCGGGAAAAAATAAGTGGCTTTTGTTAGAAAAACGTAACTGATGACAAAAAGTGACTTTTTAGAATTTTTGTCTGTTTGTCTGTGTGTACGGTGGTACGGTTTCACGCTAAAACTACTGGATAGATTGAATTGAAATTCAGCAAAAATGTTCATTGTAAACCAAGGAAGGTTTTAGGCTACATATTATCACGCCGTATGTTATAGGAGGTAAGCAATATTGATTTTAAAAGGTTTTTCTTCGTAATTGAATGCACAAAATGACAAGTTATTAGTTAAAATAAAAATAAAAATTTTACTCTGGGAACATAATAATCACGCTATTTTTATAAGGGAGCGGGCCAGTAATATTATAAATTGCAAGGGAACAGCTGTTTAACAATATGTCTACGGGAATTTAGCGGTAAGTTCAGGTGAACGTTTACCGCATTAAATGGTGCGAGTTTAAATCCCAGTACCCGGTTGACCGAGCTTTGCTCGGTATTTTTCGCTCGGTTTTTTTAATTCGTGTGTTTTGGAAATTATATTTAGATACAAATTACATAGTGATGAAATACGAATAATATTTTTTGATCGTAGCGACATAATAGAAAAAACTGAACTGGTTATTTGAATAAAAAATAGTGAATGCTATTAGTTTAATTTAAATTTTCGTGTTTTTAAAAAATACTAAAAAAAAGGGCACGAAAAAAATAGATTTTCTCAAAAAAAGAAAGGAACTTGAAAAAAAAAATTTAAAAAAGTCGGTCGGTCGGTCTCGGCTCGAACCATGGTATTACGATTTTGTGACCGCCCAATATACCAATTAAGCTATTTGTAATCTTAAATAAACCGTCAAAATTTACGTTCTTATTCTAACGATATTGTAGCAGTTTTTCATTGCCTAAAACATGGACAAAAAGACATTTTCTAAAAATAAATCCTAGCTAGATCGATTTATTGCCCCCGAAACTCCCTGCACACAAAATTTTATGAAAATCGTTGGAGCCGTTTCCGAGATTCCGATTATATATATATATACAAGAATTGCTCGTTTAAAGGTATAGGATAATATTGTTTTGAAAAATCGTAATTTTTGTTTCATTTTTGCACTTTTTATGTGCATTAGGAAATCTGAGAACTTTACATGTCCTATCTAATTGTATGGAGAGCTTCACACCAATATTTTGGTTCTAAGTTATATCTTAAGCACATTTGTTGCAGGTAATTGATTTAAGTATGTAATTCTTAGTTTTGTTCCTTGCTGCTGTTACTATATTTTTAATGCAAAAATAATGTACTTGTCTATTAAATAAACGACAATTTAATTTTAATTCATAATTTAATTAATTCATTTGGGTAAATAATATGTAGTTTCCGTTTACTAACTAGATGACGTTGGTGTCGAGTTAGATCGCACTATGGTTTCGTTCCCAAAAAGTGATGGTGCCGATGGGCCGCTCTCATACTACGGAAACGGGGATTACCTTTGTTGTCTGTGTTGGTTGATGTGTTTAATTTTCCTGCGAATAAATAAAATTAAAGTGATTTGCAATATTATTGTTAATTCAGTGTACCCTTGGGATCCGGTGCATTCCGCACCGGATCGGTGAATTATACGGGATGAAAAGTTTTTCGTTGTATAGGTGTTAAGTCTAGGTAACATATAGGCCATAATTTATTTTGGAAAATGGAACACCTGATGCAGAACCGCAACAGACCAGCTAAAGTATAAGAGATATAAAAATGGTGCCATTGCAAAAAAATATTCCATGTGAAGAGTTTTTTCAGCTGTGAGAATAAATTTGAAGATCTGGAACACCTGTTGTGGAACTCCAAAGTCTAGCGACATTATAACATAACAAAACCACACCCTCAACACCCCAATTAGATAAGACAAATACACACTTAAAACAATGCACTGATATTTATCAAATAGTTATACCGCACTTTAACAAAAACATTTTCTTTATACTTACAATAAAATAAAAAAAACTACACTCTAAAGTCATTCCTTAAGTACGTCCATTTCAGTGTTGTGCTGTACAATTTAGTGACTTAATTTACAATTATTTTGGAAAAAAATTACCTATTAAAAATATAGGACTCACTTCCCCAGACTGTTATAGGAATAACGTCTTAGCAAAAGTTGTTTAGTCTGATGGGCATTTCGTGTTGACTTACAAAATGAAAGATCTGGAACGTCTGGAATCGTCTCGCGCATCACGTTGTTTTCCCGTCTCCTGGCTTTTAGAATTCGACATCAGACGTTTCAGATCTTCGATTTTGACGACCCCGTTGTCGCTGGCATAAGCAACATCATCCGCGTACGAAGTCGCGGGCAGCAGCTTGTTATATTTAAATTAGTAGATAATTACCTGCTTTGTCAGGATCCATAACTTTTTTCTTCCAAAATAAATGCAAAATAACAAATATTCACAGTTGAAGTCTTTGTTGCAAACGAACGCCACGAGAACAAACACATACACCATGCAGGACGATCAAATTCCGACTGCCCGTGGAAGCGTGGCATGCACGGTTAGAAGGCGGGAGGGGTTGGGTATTGTTCTCTAACCTGTCCCGCATCCCAGGTAGTCGTTTTCTCTTTACTCGTTTGTATTTTATAAATTTGACTTTTGGCCGCGTGGATCGTTCAAATACTACCGTTATTTGAACGATTTGTGCGTTGGGTACATCGATCACTAATAAAAACTAGATGCACAATCAGTGACGAAAAACGACCTCACCGAATAAGCACCCATTCGAACATTTGGGTGCGCTTTTAATCTAGTTACATTCGAACGCTCCGACGGTAAACATGCCTCAGTGCTCGTTTAAAAAGTGTAAAAATCACACATCCAGGACGCTAAAAAAGGATGGACTTTCCTAATTTCGGTAGGTATTAATATTATCATTATTTAATTCTTATCACTGTATTGTAAATACTTATATTTTGTCAAGAAATCTCCGCAAAACATTTTTTCAAATTAAGTCTTAATAAAATAAGTCATAATTGTTCGAGGTATGTGCGTTGACTCTGTTCCATTTGTTGGAGACGTTATTTTTTTTTATTATTGAAGTATGATTGTTTTTTTTTTCGCTTAATGTGACTTCTATAGTTTCTCTAAATATTATAGAACATTTTATAGACTTAATTTTGAAAAATGTGAATGTAGTAAAATTAAAGATGTGAGATTTTATTTTTAATTTTTCAGCTTTCCTCCAGAGACCCAGTTAGGTGTGCGGAATGGATATCAGTCATAGCATGTCAAAGGTCCGAAGAATTCTTCAAGCCGACCCAAGGAAGCGTTGTATGTTCGAAGCATGTTTTAGAAAGTGATGAATATGTGACTACGACTTACAACTTTCTGTACATACTTTTAATATTTAGTAACTATTGAATTAAGATTTAAGTTCTTTGTCAAGCAATATTTTTAAATTATTGACATAAGATGAAGAATAAATAAATAATTATAACTGTTTCAAGTACTTTCGTTACTAAATGAATGTGGTGTCCTATCCAAAAACGTATTTACATTCACATAAATTATAATGATTACATATAATACACCATAGAAAAGAATAGAATATGCTTTATGTACACCAGTTTTTAAAACAAGTTTGAAACATTTTAAAATTAAAATAACAGTAACAAAAATATTGGGCAGTTCGACTCCAATGATTCCTTGCCCAAGCTACGAGCCTCGGTCATAAAAATTTATTGCTTTTCGTACGTAACTTTGTGAATACAACTGTAGGCAATGTATTTAAGGTTGAATTTACATAAATGTGTGGCCGTAGTAGGAAAAGGGGAGATCTCCCGCCGGGCAAGGTGTTATGCCCGGGGAGCGACCAACACTCCGTGTGATAGTTCGGAGATGTTCTATATATACTGTTTATGATTCGGAATGTTGATAGCGCGATTTAGGCTTCGGTGTGTTTTCGCTTGTGGCGGTGACGACATCGCCGCTACATCACCCCCTGCTCAGACCGGAGGTCGTTAGTGCAGCCTTGTTGCTGACGAATGTGCAAGTGCCAGTGGATTGTCTTGTAGTCTGCGGTGAGTCGAGAAGAAGGCAAGTAATCTGCGAGAGTGCCGTGGAGCAGAGGCGAGCAGTAAGGCTCAGAGCCGTGCCGAACACTGTATAGCGCAGAGAGTAGCTTGAAGAAACAGGAAGCATTATTATTCCAGTGCTGCGATGAACCTTGTGAAGCTAGATGGCTTGCAGGATATGAAGACTGCAGACGATATCTGTTCGGGAGCGAATGGGTGGGGTATTCTATGACGATGATAAAGCTTGAAGTTTCCGAAGGTTGTTTGGTTGCGTGTTCAAATCACGTCGGGGTCACCACTGTGGCCGTGGAAGGAAAAGGGGAGATCTCCCGCCGGGTAAGGTGTTCTGCCCGGGGAGCGGCTCACACTCCGTGTGATAATTCGGAGATGTT